TATATGTTTTGACCCCTAAAACCCCTAAAACCCTCAAAACTAAACCCTAATACAACATAGCTAATCCAAACATAAATGATATAATTAATATATTTTTTTGAAAAAGTGATATTTTTGAAAAGATTTTTAAAATATGGCATTTTTTAAAAGTGGCACTTGAAAAGTGGCATTTTTTTGAATTTCAAATTTCTCAAAAATATATGCCATGGTGAAACTACATATTCTCGTTAATTTTTAAAATAAACTCATTAATACATGTTTTAAATTTTTAAACTCAACTAAATGTAATATTGTAGACTAACCATAACATCTATTTTCTGAAATATTAATAAGCTTTTTATTATTGTAGTTAGAACAATTATCTATTGTGTATTTATGTATTTAGATTAGTATACTATATGAATATTTTTATTATGATATTTACCCTACCCTCTATATTTAATCACACTTATCAATATTTATAAATTTCATTATTGGAAAACATATATTGTTTTTCATTTGTTATGTCTGACAAATTTATTTATCATATGTTTTATAATTTATACGAATAACAAAATTCAATTATATATTTAAAAAAATTAAAAAATAATATTTCTATATATTTTCATCAATTTACAAATAAAAATATTAAAACTGATAAAATTAACATATGTTTGATCAAAAGTATTCAACTTTATTCATTTTATGCACAATACATATCATTTTTGTACGCTTACAAATATTAGAAATCATATGTTTTGTCAAACGCGTTTAAATATTAAAAAATTATATATGTTAAAACTGATTAATCAATATATTCAATAATTTAATCCTGCGCTTCGGCGCGGGCCAAAATCTAGTATATAATTAACTATCTAACATCATATTAAATATAATGTAGTAACTACCACTTAACTCACTTTAAATTCTGATTTTACCCTCAAATAATTATACAGTTTTTAACTAAAAAAAATAAAATACCCTAAAAACAATTTACCCTACTCTAAATCTTTTCACCGCCGA